TATTTTATTTTTATTATTTCTACTGTATATCGGGGAATGTTATAATAAATTTACATAAATTCGTTTTATAACAAAATGGCAGACCAAATTTCATACGTATAAGCTTATGTATAATTTGTTTGTTTGTAAATATAAACACAAGTGCCACACATTACAGGTTTGTATAAAAAATTTTAGCCACATATATATTTTTTTCGGCTAATATATAACAATGAAAGATAAGAGTAACATATATACAAATAAAAAAAGTCGAAGTTATATCGAAAAGTGGCACATCTTTAGAGGTTGGAAGCACGGGTGTAAGGTTTGTGACGAATGCAACCATCATTCGCATCTATATTGCAAAACATGCAAAAAAGTAGCTGATGGAATATATAGGCGATGTGAATGTGAAAAATAAAATAAACTTGAATTAGTAACAGGTAATAATGATGATACGTAATAACAGGTCGTAGTTTTTTCTGTTGATTGAATGACCAATAGAATTACTACTGTATAAAGATATGATCGTCAATAATTTTTGATAAAAATCTTCTTTAAAATGTTTATACTTTCTCGCGCCATTAAAAATGCTTCATTTAAATTACTCAATAAGACAGCCCGGATTTCTCATCCATTTGGAGTACGATATAGGACGGAGCAAACTTCTAATGCGCTAAAGATTAAGCAACTTGAAAATTTGCTTTCAACACAACGCAAAGAAAAGATGGTCAGACAAACATTTAATTTTGAAACTGTCTTACAAATTGCGCAAAGGTTAACATTAGCAGGAAAAAACAATGACATTGTAACAGAATTAATTTCAGCATTTCGAATAAATGAAGTCGTAAGTATAGAGATTCCCAGCTGTAAAGTGTCAATATAATAAATATTTTATTTATTTGTACATAGGTTAAATCTTTTTCAAGTATTGAGGTTGAAGATATTCGTCAACTTCTTGCAGTTGAGAGCGGTGATTTAACTTTCAAGGACGATATATCATTGAAGCCTTCAAAACTTTTTGAAGATGTAATGGAAAGGGTATTCCGACGTTGGAATCTAAGTGTAAGTTTATATCGATTTGTTCAGAACCTTATTTTCAATATACTTTAACTGTATTTCACATTTTTTTTCTAGCTAGAAAGTGCAAGGAGAACTATAGTCGATACATACTTATTAGAAGCGGTTGACCATGCATATGATCCGAAAACTTATAACATCGGAGACAAATTAGCAATATACCCAGAGTATTATATCACACCCCAAAATGTTGAAAGCAATTTGACTTTAAGGGGTTCAGTTGATTATATTTCTGCTGAAAGAGGGGAACCTACCAATGGTAAGTTGCTAATTAGCGAGTTAAATACTCTGCTCTCAATTTCTAACTACTCTTAACTACTTTAGTGGCACTTACAGCCGGGCATAGTTCACCGAATAACTGTGTGTTTTGTGCTGTTGAAGCAAAGAAAGATGAATCGTTTGCTCAAGGTACTGGCGAACTTATTGGGCAAATGAAGGCACTACATATAAGAGAAAAGTATGATCTTAAATCCTTTATTGAATATTTTTTCATCAAAATTCTAACGTTTTTTTATTTGTGATATAGAAAACCTATTAATGGTGTACTCACGGATGGATTGAGATGGATGTTCTACCATTTAGACGATAACATTTATTATGAAAGTAAAATTTACCATCATGAATATCGATGTAATTTCATATTGGGTATATTACACTACTGGGTCCGGGGTGAAATCCCTGCAGGCACTCTATTAACAGATTAACACAAATCAACTAGATTATTCACCTTGTATAAATGAGATGAAAACTAAATATATAGAATCATAAAATTCGAATTTTTTCTGACACTTATATATAAATTGAATGTTGAATGTGAACCGAGTTCGCAATGTCACTTGTTTGCCGTAGTAAATGCTTATTTTGCAAATTTATTATATGATATCATCCTGACTTAATTTTGATAAAATAATTAGTACGCTTTTTCAATTATCGCTCTTGGGTTTTTAAATAAAGATGGTAAAATATCCATTAATTCGCTGATATCCTGTCTCCCGGGTATTTTCCAATTTCTATTTTGCCTGATGATCAATTTCGCATACATAATCGCGTTTATTTTTGTATGTGTATTTCGTAAATTTATTTTATTGTATTATTCAATGTATATTAACTCGCTTCACGCAGACATTAATCCGCAGACAATAGCATAGACACGGGCTAAGTCCCGAACATTTGTATTTACTTTTCGCATGTATTAACAAAATTTTTCTTAGCAAATTTCGCTGACGGGCCATAAGGAAAAATTACATAAAAAAATCGTAAAAAAATAAAAACTGGCGAGGGCATGGGACACCCATCTTTATTTATAAAAATTATTGCCAGAACAACAATATACAGATAAAAAATATACGCCTCAAAGAGGCACCCTTAATGGGCTATGTTGGCGGGGTTACATTCGATTTTGATCTAACATTTCTTGGGCCTGACCAGGATTCATATCGCTCCAGTCATCATTCTTTATGTGCTCTTCGATGCTTTCTGTTGAAATAGCTTTCCAAGGATCGTTATATTGATAGTTAGTCTTGGGGGTCTTATTTTTCTTTTTCTTGGAAGCATTACTATTATTGGTCCTGGGGGTGGTGGTGGTATCGTTGGTCTTGGTAGTATCGTTAGTACTACTCATTTTTCGTTCCTAAATACAAAAATCATAGTAAGTAAAAATTTGATTTTCTTAGCCTCTGTTAAATGGTACATTACTTTTTAAAAATACGGACAAGCGAATCAAGTAAAAATATATATGAGCAAAAAAATAACGCTATTGCTAACTTATCTTGTGGGTGGGAACTTGCTTATTTTATACTGTTCATTTGTTAGATCTTAGAACCTACCAGAAAAAAAAAAGTTACATGATTAGTAATTGCGTTACCTAACACAATACCAGATCCAGCCACGTAAAGCAACCCCGTTCGGCTATAAGTTCCAAATACTGAATCCATTTCGTC